ATGCGCAACAAAGCTGGCTGCCTCTGGCACATGCTAGCTTGCATCAGTTTTCAGTTCAGCCAGTAAATATATTTAGAACGGCTCAGTGAAAGAGCTAAGGCGGAGTGACTGATTTAATCAATTATTAAACATTTTCAGCAGTTTATCCGTCCACAGAAGTCTTTCGGACCTCGTTCTTGGGATGCGATAGAATAGTATCCTCTAAATTCAATGATTTTTCCCTTGCTCTCACTACTTCATTTTCCACATTTACTCACGTAATGTTTTAAATACTTTAAGCTAGACAGAGCGACTAGCGTTGGTGTCAACGCAAATCTCGACCTACAACCCGGACCCGATTATTTTCCGGTTAAACATGACAGATATGGCATTATTGTCATTTAGATTACTTTGAGTGCCATTTAATTTTGATAATAAGAGGGTCAAATATGCTGGTAGGATTCATCCTTGGTGCTTCCTACACTACCGTTCGCGGAGGAATATGCCAGAAAGATGAATGATACTTTCGCACCATCAGCTGCATAATAGATCCATTTTGTACTGAAGGCGAGATGCATCTAAGTAGGTAATCTTTGGGATCCACTTCAGATGCCTTTGCATCTTGCTAATGATCATTTAGGCAAGGAACTACGTGTGTGATGGAATACGCAAACTGATGGCACAAAGTGTAGGCCACTCATCTTTACTCATGCGCCTGGCAAGTACAATAGCATAAGAATTAAATGGCGCTGCAGATGTTCTTCACTTGGGCAGAATAACGCGACTTCATGCGAACGAAAAGATATCGTTCATATGCACATTTGGATTATTAGGCAGTGAGAATCTTTCGTACGAGTCCTGTGTAACGTTCATAAGTTGCATGGCAGTGAAGAATAAGGCGCTTTATCGCAATTGGCTTATAAATCATGTCGATCCGGTCAGGCCTCCCTTGACGCAGTGGCATAAGCTGCTGGCCGGCAGTAGAAACTGCCGGTGGTCATGGGTCCGAATCCTGATGGATCCGATGAATGCGGACTATTGATTATGCCCAAAAGTTGGAAGCTGCAGTATAGCGCTTCTCCGGGCAAGTGAAGGATTTTGTGATTTGTTAGCTGGTGCGACGAACTCGCAATTAATCACATGAACAGATTGCTCATTGCTCATTTGTCAGCGGCCACCGTCTTCGATGGCGGAAACAGCACACCAATTAAAGTGACAGATGTTATGTCTACAGGAATATGCTCGGTAATACTATTCACGCTATTTAACTGTCTATAATATCTGGCCGATCACGCTAGAACAAAACTCATGTAGTGTTTCCTTCGATTTTATGAATAAGGAATTTAAAACAAATTTTACAGCAGACAAATCTAGTGGATTGTACACCTGGTCATACATTTGAAGAGTAGACCATCTTCGCTTGCAATGAGAATATCAGGTAACACCAAGGAGTGAAGGGCTTGCAAGGTTTAAGAATAATAGTGCCCAAGCAGTATGTTCAAACACAATACTATCAGCGGCAAATAACTAGTCGCGGTTTGATATAAGATGAAATGTTTGTAGCTCAGGTTGTTCATTTGTTACATAAACTGTCTTCTGAGATTGGCAATTATTTCGCAAAAATAATTGCGAAGCTCAGAGAAAAGTCCACCCAATATATTCACGGTTTAATCTTAATTTAGGTTGTTATCTCATACACCACTTACCATCCCAAAATAAAACTTGAACTTCTTCTGTAGGTGATCCAACTACAGATGAAAAAACCACCATCATCATGTTTGACGTCGAGATTTCCTTGTATGTTTGTGACTTGTTCTGAACCGTAATGCGGGCAAGTTCTCGAGCAGCACAATCGCCACCGTCCAGTATGCGGATCAAGGAGCCAAGCGCTTTCGACTGAAGATAGACATTCAGGGTGATGAGCAAAGAAATGAAGGCACAGTTTATGAAGGTAAGGAGACCTGATTTGACTAATGTTGTCCCATCTTTGTAGCGGTTAGTTGTAATTTCGAGCACATAAACCATACATGACTCTAATGAATCGTTCCATGCGCTTCATGTTCGTTCTGGTCAATGATTAAGGATGACGTTTCTGCGTCAACCCAAATAGCAGATACTATGAATGCTATTTCTACTCTGCAGGGAAATACTGTCATTTGAGGAGAACAAAGATTTCTACAAAACTGCGACACCTGGATGATATAGGTAACGGGTTCAAAACCTAAGTCTCTATCACACATTTCCAAATCACTACTCACTTGCTTTGCTCTCAGTTGGAGGTGCACCTTCTTCCCTTTGCCAACTTTCAGTCTCCAAATACACAAATTATTCGCCATTCTGTCCCCCTTGAACGAGATCGTTCCGTTCGGGCCATTCCTTTCGCCTCCGCAGTTGTCTGTGTTCGAAAAACATTAAAAATTGTAGGGCAGCGCGCAATTGATGATCAATTCGCCTAATTTATTTTTCACATATAAGCGACAAGTTATGTGCAGACACAAGTCTTGGTCGTTTCTTTATCCTGAACAATCGTAACTTCTAATTAACACTAGTTTGTGCTCAAGTTGACTGAGTCGCATCTGCTCAACGCATTATGTCTCAAATCCCCCCATAGTCCAGGTTGCGTAGTTGTAGATTATTGAGATCCTCTCTTCATTCATCATTGAAAGATACTGATAGCACCGTAATTTTGATAAATGGTAGAAAAGTCACACACCATGAAATCATTGCTCTTAGTTACAAAGAACGTTAGATTTATGTAATTCACTAAATTTTCTAAATACATTGGGGTTAACTACGCCTTACAAACTATATTCATTGAAACATATTGAAACAGATGATAAACCGCACCAGAAGCTTGAGTGTGATAAAACTCACCTAATATCCTGTTAATATCTGATTGTGGAGGTTAAAGGCGCAAAAGAAGAAGAAACGGAATAAAATCTGCTCTGCTGTACAGCTGTTCAGTTAAGTATTCAGTTTACGACCGTTTCATGCAAACGCTCTTCTTGCACTAAATTCATACTAGATATGATTAAGCGATTGGGCTTAATCGATAGGAGTCACTTACCAGATGGCGGTGTTGTCTCCGTTGCATCTGTTTTGGTGTAGGTGAATAGATTACCGGGAATGCAAGTAAGATAATGAGGCGATTTACAAATACATTTAGTTAACAGACCAGACATTATTAACCGCTAAGGAATTTCTAACTGTTTCGTGTTGTTTAGCAAGTTGGAGAGTAACGCTTACTGCTAGTTTGGATGCACATTATTCCGACACTTGTGAGACACTGTGATTGGAAGTACACTTACAGATTGAGCAATTAATTCTTCACTGTCTCATTCGGATGATTTACATACGAAATTGACTTACTTCGTTTGTTTACTGAAATGCGAGCAAAAACGACGATTGAATATAGTGGGGAACCAAGATAGGTGTGCGATTATTCCAGGAAGATGATTGGTTCGTTCAATTGATTTACTGATGTATTCCTCCATGGGTATTGCGGGAATAATTAAATATGCTAGGTTTATGCAACATGGTTACTCAACTTCAAACTAGCGATATTTATATTTTGGCATTACTTAGTGAAAATATATGTGACGTTTAAACCTGCAGTGCAGTAGTAGACTAGTTGGTGAGCTAGCGGATGCATCACTTCCGGATTTGAGTAACGCGCATAAACTGCCATTATGGAACATTTAAACCACTAAGTAATTGTACATAATCATGGATCGTTTAACAACTCGATGAAGGTAGCTTGTCAGGTGTTACATTGGGAATAGCCAGAACGGAGACTGCGGGTAGTTGCTGATTACGAACGACGTCGTCGCCAATCTGATTATACAAACAGTGTGTGACATTAATGTTGACCCCAAAAACACAGTGGCCTATCAGTTTATCAAATTTTATACTGGGCTACTTGTAATGGATTGTGGATATTGTCGCCCAGGGAGACGCATCTTCGACTTAACTGAACTCTCTACTAGTCATCAGTGTAGTTCAGAATGCAACCAATGGGTGTCTTACATCAAGTGAACCGAATTCAGTTGCGTTATCTACTGAGAGCGAGACATATTTCGTGCAGCGTATGTCTGCCGCAATGAGCGAGCCTGCACCATTCGCGTCAGCACAAGATTTGTTCTTCTTTGCCGAAGCGGGCCACATATCTTCTCCATTGCTTAGCATTTAGTAAAAGAGGATAGGTCCTCTTCACATGCATTTGTTCCTGAGTGCTCTCGCTGAAGGCATATACAATGTGAATTCTTACGGCATTGCTGTATCTGTGGCCTAGTTAAAACAAATTCTAGCGAGTATGTAGCTGAAAACGATTCACTTGTGAATACAATGAACGTTGATAAAGCTGGTCCCATTAGTTGACATAGTACCATGTAGTTCTACTCCGACTTTCGATTGTGAACGTGTATACGCAAAACCTTCAACAGAATGTTTTGTAAATAAATAGATTTCCAAAGTAACCAGGTTTAAGTTATAAATATATATGGCATGATCCCAAAACATTGGTTTTATTCATATCGTTGGTCGCCATAAGCAACTGAACCATGCCGGAATCTATTAAGTAACCGAACGTAGTCACAAATCAACCATTTAGGTGGCCTCACTAAGAGAAAGCTGTAGTGAACCTCTGTCCAATACACAAAACACAGTGAATCCTTCTACTGATGCCTAAAGCACATTGGCGCTGCACTACCCATTGTTCCAGGCAGCCTGAAAACGGCGTTGACAAACAGTTTAAATCCCATCGGTTGTTACCTCAGTTTCAAATTGCTATGTATGAAAGAACTTTCCCAATAATCCTATACACTCAAGAAATGTCTTGAGAAACTGCCATATAATAGTCTACAAAATGAAATTATTTATGTAGCGCTGTATTCTTCAACAGGACACTGATTAGTGAGCGGGGAAAACAGCGTTGCAACTAATAGCAAGCCTTGTTTAAAAAGCTTCAAGTGCGTCAAACGATAAACGTCCTAGCTCCTTCAACCGATAGATGAATCTAGTGATCACTTGTGTCTACCGAAATATGCAGATATCGGGGTAGCTGAATGGAAGATACCAAAATTAACTATAGCGTGCAATCAGCGTTCCCCATAATAGATGGCGGTCTTCATAGTGAATATTCTTACCAGCGGAATACGTAGCCTTGAAGGTACTTCTTGCATATTCTCTGATGAACAATGCTGTCATCTTGTTGCGGCTGGAAGTGAAAGTCGGAGTGTCCCCTCCACTCACCGCTCCAACCCGTGTTAACATGCAATTCGGTCCATCGAATACCAAAACGTAGTCCAAATATGCTACATCAAGTGACTTCAACTAGATAATGGAACCATAAATGGATTGTGTTGAAGTGATCGAAATCAATGACAGGTGATCAAATCCATGAGTAGCTTGATATAAAGGGATCTTTAGAGAAGGAGCATCGATGGGTTAATAAACAGTTTTGGAGTTATATATATATGTTCATGATTTTATAACTCACCCTCGCTTTTTTAAATTTCAGCTCGATCTGTCGCTTTGAGTCCACAGAGATATCGTAGTTACAGAATCTGCTCTCACCAAACAGTTCTCTTTCTTGTATCGTGCCGTTGTTGGAGAAAGCGTACGTCCTATGGCATGACTGGGTGTCAGATGATGCTGTAAAGTGTATGATTTTGTAAGCTCTTAAGCAGCGATGACAGATAGACGTTGTAATGCAAGTGAACCATTGCTCAACCACTTCGGTTACGAAACGCGTTTTTATGCTCATATTCTAACGCTTAAATGAGCACAGGTGGGAATTATTCAATGCATTGACAGGTGCCATTTGTTCAGAACAATACGACTTCCCATGTAGTGACGCACCGAAAGAAATCGGGACATCTGTAGCGGAATAGTCAACTTAAAAGTCTCTACGTCATAGCCAGCAATGGGGACCTTCAGTGCGCTTGCGCAAATTACCAAGTGGTGTCATTTCATTCACTCAAGGCATATTGAAGGGAATTCAGGGTAAACACTTAGGGTGTCCAATATCCTAATTGGAGGTCGATGCTCACGTGTAACATTTAGGTACCGCCTGTGAGGTACCAATTTTGGCGAGGGTTTCTTTCAGCACAATTGACAATAATACTAAGTAGTCACAACTGGTTAAGCGCTTACTGTGGTTCTTTGGGGAATAAACGATTCACGATGTGGCTGGAAAATGTAGATAAACGCTTATGCAACAACAAACAACCTAAAACTCGCTGTAGTAAAGCACAATAAATTCTATGCTATTGACGAAATATAGCCAAAGTACAATTTCTCTTCCACCTGAATTATAAGAACGAAAGCAAATAAAACCATGGATGCTTACGTTTAAGGTAACAGCTTAAAATTAGCGTTAATTGACAACCCATACCTGATTGTTTGCTTTAATGCAAAATTCATAGCTACGCAATCTGAAATACTCACGATGAAGTCCGATGGGTAGAGCTGATGCGATACCGGAAAGCAAGGCGAGTGCACACAGCGGTTTTTTCATCATGGGCCTTGAACAGTTCGGTAGTGGGCTGAAGCGCGCAGATGCCCTGAAGTTATAGGTCCTAGTACTGAGTTGTGAAGGACAACTAAACACTTTTTCACCTACCACATAAGCAGTGTTTAATGTGACGCACATTCCAGAAGTAGTCGCAGGATGAGGCTACCTTAGCAGCCTTGTGGTGATTAGAGTAACAACTAGCTACGTAGCTTATGTTGGCCCCTGGTAGACAATACTTGGTAATTGTTCGCTCTATGGCATAAAACACTGCATCGAGCACACCCCCAACCGTTAACACCCATGCAATTGGTGAAGGTAAGTAACTTTGAGGAACTTGAAACAATTTAAGTCCTCTAAGTAATAGCAAACATCGCCAAGACCGTCTAGATTTTCAGTACATTTTTGCAAGACGCGAACTAAAACAAACAAAGTGGATTATCCCATTAAAGTTTCCTGTCCTGATTTTAGCTTGATTGACATTTTCAATTGAATTAACCGTGATATTCGTTTACGTTTTACTAATGATACCAAGACTAGCTCATCTCAAACATGTGTTTAAAATGGTCACTAGTTCACCAATAGACCCTATTGCAATATTTCTCAATTGGATAACTATATGAAATACATTGTAATTTGCAACGAACCCTGAAAATACGCTAATTCGAGTTACTTAAACCGCGTTCAGTTTCGCTAAAGGAATAAAACGACCAGGGGGAAATCAATTCTGGAGCGAAGTAATTAAAGCGAGTGTGATAGCTTTGTTACGTAACTACCTGGGTACGAGGTAACGATAGCGTTTATATATTAATTTCAATCTACCTCAAAACTCTTCCCCCCCTATCCATACGAACGGTGGACACTCGGAAAATGCTAGGGGCACGTTAAGTCCGTTTTACGCAGGTTTGCAGGAAAACAGACAACCAACAGAGGAAAAATGTATACTGCTTTCTCTTTGTCCACTTTAATTGGGAAGGGACGTGTATGCATTAAAAAGACCTAATTAAATTTGCTTTCGATGCGAAATAAACAAAAATGATCAAATAAAGATGAGGAAGGGGACAGCGAGCGTAGTGTTCTAGTATTGTGAGGAATGTTCCGTTTTCAAGCCCCAAAATGCGGGAAGTGGTATTTATTGATAACGGACCTTATGCAATGGATACCAACAGTTTTGACCCACAGTTCCAATCCTTCATTTCTCTACTGGCTCCTCTTATGAAACCCTGCACTACAGGAGCAATGATGCAACTAGTGTCTTCTACATGTCTTGGATTTGCAAATCTGGCAGAGCACAATGAAAGGGGTCGAAATGGCCCACAGCGTCAATGATATTTTAACGGGTTAGTAAACGGGCTAACTACATCTGCAACAAACCTCGGCATTTCCAAATTTTCCCTCATTGATTCTCTGGTCGCCCAGATCCCATCAAACGAAAGGTGGATGCTAGATCACATGCCAAGACGTCTGCTTTTGGAAACGAGCTGGAAGATGCACACTTTCTCAATACACTTCGGTCCATAACGAAGTGTTAGAGCACAGCAATCCAAATGGTAACGAAACTTTAACTGGGCCCCTAATCTAGGACAGTTCTTCGACGGATAACATTTGGTTTATGGTGGCAGTTCACATTTAGCTTTAACTTCCGGGCTGACTTAAACGTTCCACGGTTTCTCAAATTCGTGATATAAGCCGTCGTTTACGCTAGCTCTGTAAGATTCAATTTTACTCATGTTTGCAATTGACGCGGCCATGGATAGCGAACATTTGGATACAGCCACATCTGTCAAGGAGCCACCTTGCTAGATAATGTTATATTGTGGTCCGAAGTTCGTGAGCTGTCTTATAATGCATTAGAGTGCAATAAAGTGCTGTTCTCTGCACATGGATTGCTACTTTCTGACCAACGTGTGAGAGCAACACTACAATGCGGTCGCAAAAAAAACTGTCCTCCTGCGTTATTCGCCTCCAAATCTTTGGATTTATTCTCACAGAGACCTACGTGCCATCATTCGATTTGACTCCGCGAGCTCCTCCTACCACTGTTCATCTATTGGATCTATCATTCACGGATCACCAACAAACTGTGCTCTTGGAAATTCGAAGTCAACCGTATTTGAAGCTTATCGGAGGTTCTATTTTTCCTCTCGTCGCATAAGAACTCTTGTGGTCTTATTTTAAAGATCTTTTTGAGAGTCACCCGATCAGCTTACTACCATTCCTTCAAGTCGCTCTACAAAGCGATAGTC